ACTTGCCTAAAGGCTCACTTCATTTAGATCACTTTTCTGAGGACAAGAAAGATGATCTTCTTACCCCTTTCACGGGTAATGGGACAGTTTACCCACCTACATTTTCCACCTCTCAGATTTCTTGGGAAGTTGCTTTCCCACTTTCAGTGTGTGCTGCCACCAGGCAGGGACCTGTATAATTGTTTGAAACTGAAGAAATGGGCGTGTGCCGCAAATTACTGTTTTTACAGGGTACTATATTAGGTGGTGCATCCTGGAGGTGTGATTGTGTGAAACTTTTGCCTCTTTTGGCTTTTTCACAGCAAGATAAGCCTTGTAAGTATATTTCCAGGTTCCTGTGTGTTATTTGGAAGTTGTGTTTCTCATACCACCATCCTATCCCCAGAGTTCAGAGGGACATATGTATCTCACATAATCGCACATAACCTACCCCCGTAGTGTGGAGGAACATGTGTGTTCCCACATAATATTATTAAAAATTCATTAGCTACCAAAAATTCAGACACACTCAATGATTCAGCATGCAGTCCATTAATGAAAAAACAAAAAATTACAGGTGGAAAATAATTCATATATGGAAAAGTTAGATGGAAAGAGAAGATAAATTCTCAGTTCAGTCTTACTTTCCATTTCCCAACACTCACCTTTCAAATTAATGGAGTCCTGAGCTAACCCTCCAAGTGATAGCTCCTGCATCGCAAATTAGAGCTTGGAATCGAAGTTTTTCAGCTCTATGAAGCATGAAACAGGAGGAGGGATGAACAGAAAAACTAGTCAATCATGACAAGACCACCCCCTTCACTTGACCAATAGACGGTCCAAAAGACCACCTTCGTACTTTTGTTGTTGTTGTTGTCTGTTTATTTGAGGCAGAAAGTAGGGTGGGGCAGTGGGAAGAGAAGACTGTATGTTGGAAGAGAAGCACATGATAAATTCAGTTCTGTCTTTGAAAGATCAGAAACTGGCTGTTCCCAACCTATAATGACACCAATCTGCAGTGACTCTGGTCATGATAGGCCAAACCTTGGTGGTGTTGGTAGCCAGCTCCTCTCCCCTCTGGGGACCCTGAGTCCAGAAATCCCAGTGAGTGGAGGGACTCAGACAGATCATCACCAAGCAACACTATTAGAACAGAGTTCAGAATAATTATAGCCATCATCTCATCTCATCCAGAAATAATTAGATTTGGAGGAAGGGGGATAGACCAGATGACCTCTGATAACCTTTCCAGCTCCACCATTCAGTAAAGCAATCTCCTGAGAGGATGTGGCCAGGGAGAAGTAAGAATAACACTCTTAAAACAAGCTATTGTTACAGGCAACTAGAGAATAGTGGAAAGTTAGCAGAATAGGGGTCAACATCTGCCACAGACTCACTGAGCAACCTTCTCCTCTCTAAGCCTAACGTGAGAGAGTATAGATTAGTTGGTGCCTTCAAGAGTCCCACAGGCCCTCTGCTCCACCAGCTCCTCTCTGCTCAGAGGTTATGTTCAAGGATAAGCCTAAAGAAAATCTCCAAAATGGTCCCGGCACTTTCTCTGTCATCTATACTTTCACAAAGGGTCAAGTAGGCTGGAGAATCAAAGAAGTGGAGATGAAGCATCCAAACAGTCTTTCTCACACACGACTTCCATTTCTGATCCCTTGTCCCACCCTGAAGGCTGCAGGCAGGACTGGTTCAAGGGTTAACAGTATGAGATTCTGTCTCCTATTCACCAAGTGCCACTTTAGTGCCACTCGAGTGGCTCAAGCAATGCTAGGAATGGGAGGAGAATAAACAGTCCACATAGCCCCTGTTAAAATTTAGCTGAAAGCAGACCCAGAAACCTTCAAATACTTCAAGGAGCTGGGCTCTATGTTTGCTCACATGGACAGTCCCAGAAAATGACCACTTGAACACTTTTCCCCTGACCTGTTAAGCTAGGGCTGAAAACCCAACAAACTGAAGAGGTTTTACCAAGACTGAACCTCTTACTAAGATCTAGATTCAAGTCCTAACTTTGACACTAACATGCTACGTAACTCTAGGTCAGTCCCTTCTTATCTGTGGGTCTCAGTTTCTCCATTATACAACAAGAGAGTTGGACTTGATAGTTGTATAGTCTTTTCAACTCTGACATTTAATAAATCCTAAAGAGGGAAACAAAAAACTCAAGAACATCTCAAAATTTCAAAACAACCTCTTTTTAGGGAATCCAAGACAGCCCCAAAACCTTTGTGAGCTTAAAAAAAAAAAACAAATTTACAGCGGGTAGGAAGAGGGGAAGACCTTTTCTATAACTGTCTAATCATCACCATAAAGTTAATAAGCTTCTCCATTCTGGCTACTAAAGCAGACTGAGGAAACTGACAGCCAGAAGCAGAGTTCACAAACGGGTGGGTTAGGGGAGAGCATGTTTTAACAGATTTAAGAAAGGCTGGGCAGATTAGGGGAGCCCTGGTGGCACAGTGGGTAAGAGCTCGGCTGCTAACCAAAAGGTCAGAAGTTCTAATCCACCAGCTGCTCCTTGGAAACCCTGTGGGGCAGTTCAACTCTGTCCTATAGGGTTGCTATGAGTTGCAATCGACTCGATGGCCACAGGTTTGGTTTTCTGGGTTTTTTTTTTTTTTTTGGTTTGGGCAGACTAGGACAGACAATTGGCTGTAAAAGTGAGACCAACCCTGGATAGACTGTAGACATGGTTCATATGAATGACTGAGTTTGATTTTCCACTACTCTTCCCTATCTGTCATACTCCAGAAATAGCCTAAAACACACCAATGAAGAAGGGGTGGAGAATAGGGAATTTTTGCCCTTTCATTAAAGTTATTAGCCGGTATGCACTGGACTAGGGTGTGCCCCTGGAAGCCCCAGCATTGGGATGAGGAATGAGAAAAGTAACAGGAGACACCTTGTGACGCTCCCAACTTTACCAGGAGACTACACAAATTCTAACTTTGGTCACTGCCCAAATTACCAACTTCCTTTTATCTCAGGACCATAAAGGCCTGAAAACAGGGGGCAATTTGCTTTGGGCAAGACAGAGGACTCACTTCAAGAACCCAATCAATGAGTCAGTGTAGGGGGTCGATAGATAGTCTCTCAGGTCCCTGAAAGGTTAAGATTCTATAGTCTTAACGGGCATGCTTAGGAGTTGTTTCTCCTAAAAGTTGACCAATCTTTGAGCCGAACAGCATGGAAAATTCTTGTGTTTCCAGTAACAAAATTCAGCCCTCTCCTTCAATATGATCCAAGTTTCAGTTAGCCTGCATAAAAATACCTTCAGTATTCAGGTATCTTCAATACCCTGGGAGTGACCCCATACTCCAGTCTCTCTCCATACCCATGAGGAAGTATCACCATGTTGTCTTCTTTGCCACTTTTGACTAAGATGGGATGGTTGAGGCAACTCTGAGGCAACTTCCAGGCCCATCAAGTTCTGTTTAAGGGTGGCATAGCTCAGAATTAAGAAGGAAAGATGTCACTAGGGAAGAGAAGTCATGGGGCAGACTATTCCCAGAGATCCACCCAACTGTTTAGTCAAAGCCACACCTTAAGAGGATACAAGGAGTCAACCACAGAGAGGTAGGCCCAAAGAGGCTCCTGGAAGAATCTTTATAATCCTGTGTGTTGGCAAAGACAGTGTTCCCCCCACCCCTCTAAAACTATTCTCTCACTTGTCGGGGGAGGGGTGTTAGGAAGAAAGTGTGGGAAAGCCTCAGCAATTTAAGAGATGGTGAAAACCCATACTTGCTGAAAACTTGGTGTTTCTGAAGGGCAGGGTTCTGGAAAGGCAAGAAAGACTTGGCAATGAGGCTGGAACACAGCAACGTGGCAACCAAAGCTCAGTATACACCCAAAGAACTAGACCCCACAGTCTGCTTTTCCCATCTCTGGGGCCCTCAGCCCTTCTCAAGGCTACTAGCCACTATTTCCGCTCTACAAGGCTTTGGCAGTCCTAGAGAGAGGGGTCAGGAGCTCTCTGCATAGCCTAACAAACTGCTTTTACTAAGGAACTCAAGCCAGGGTGGCGACCAGGCCTGCCAGACAAGGGAAAGGCCCCAGCAGCCATTTGGCATGACTTGCACAAAAGCAAGCAGGGCTCAGTAGTCAGGCATACCCCTCCCCAACCCCTCCCTCCAGGGCATCCGGGGCCCCCCTAGGCCCTACTCCCAGAAGGCGTCTGCTCTTCACATAACAGCCTGTGGGGTGGAGACCAGATCCCAGAGGCAACACCACTCTAAAAAGGTGTGGCCCCACAGGAGAGAACTCACACCTCACAGAATGTCCAGAAGGCACTCACAGGATGCTCCTAAGGGGATAGGAAAGGAGAAGGAGGCATTAAGTAATAGGAAGACAGGAATTTGGCTGGTGGGGAGGAGGGAGAAACCAGTCCTCTCCCCCAGAAAGTGGGGCAGTTCTCTCCCCAGACTGGTTCCTAGGGAAGTGTTGGTGCTTTTGGGTAAAAGAGAGCAGCCTCTATGAGTTCCTCCACAACTCTTTCCTCCTCTCCTGGTGGGAAACATTTGGAGCTGCCTAGGGAGGCTGTGGGAAAGGTGAGAGAGGGTGCAGGATATGCCCTGAGTAGCTCCCTCCTTTTTCCCTCCTCTATTCCCACGCTCCTCCAGGACAATAGCAGCCTTGCCCCAGACCGGCGCCAATTCCTGGGCTGAGAGAAGTGTTCCCCTCCATACCAGAGTCCTCTCTGTAGCCACAAACCAAATGGGGCAGAGGGAGACCCCGGACCCACAACGAAGTCTTCTTCACTGCTGCATCACCGATGCAGGGACCTGGAACCTGGGAAAGAGGCCGATCCCGTCCTGCCCACACTTCTAGCCCAGGGACCCTCTCACCCAAAGGGCACGCCAGACAAGGACCCCACTCCCGCCCCCTCCCCACCCCGGCTTAGGTCGCGGTGTTTCGGGGGGGCGAGTGTCTGGCCAAGCTCTTGGCCATCAGCAAGAGACCACAGGGGCCAGCTAGAGCCCCCGGGGCCGGCGGCACCCACCCCTGGCACTCACCGTCTTGGGCATGGTGGTGGATAAAGCGGCAGAGTTGGCAAAGTTTGGCTGGGAGCTGTCGGGCAGCGCTGGGCACGCAGTACACACAGCTCGGGCTCGGGGGCCAGGGGCTCGGACTGGGTCCCTCTCTAGCGTCAGGGCGATTGCTCAGCTTCCTGCTAACGGGCCACGACTTCACAAACCCCACCCAGGAAAGAGCCGCCCCCGTCGCGCCGCCGGCTCCATTATGTGGCCCGGCTTCCGCGCCGCTCCCCCGCCCTCGCGCCCGCCTCCCCAAGAGCCGCTGGCCTCGCCCCACCCAACCCAGCCCTGCCCAGCCAGGCCACACTGGCCACGTGGTAGGCGGGCAATGCCCGAGCAACCCAAAAGGAGCTCCCATCCCCTCCCCAGGCCCACCCTGCTCCTTCCCCACCCACCTCACAGCCCCTAGCCCTTTTCGTCAGGCCATCCAGCCCCACCCCCACTCAGGGCAGGACCCTGGGGTGTGCTCTGGCAGATGCTTATGCTGCTCCCAGCCGAAACTTTCCACTGATGAGGAACTCAAGATAGCCCTGACTCTTAGAAAGTTCTTCTTGTGTGAATTTGAACTCCTTTTCTATGTGGCTTCCACCGGTGGATCTCAGCTCTTGCTCCCTGGGTACATATACACGCTGTGGGGTTCCCTAGGTAAAAAAAAAAAAAAAAAAAACCTGTTGATGGCCAGTCGATTCTGACTCCTAGGGACCCTATAGGACAGAGTAGAACTGCCCTACAGGGTTTCCAAGGAGCACCTAGGGTGAGTAACAACTCCTTAGGGTCTGAAGATGGATCCCAGGCCCCCCCGAAACTTATCTTGGCTAAACTGCCCCAGCTCCTTCAACCCTTCATCCATTTCTTCTGTAGGACTCTATATCCCTTCTTCCATCCATTGTATTTCCTCCCTATCCTTGCTCAATCCTCATTTTCATCAGAATTGGGATCCTTCTCCATATCTGTCCTCTACTCACTCTTCTTTCTGCCAAATCCCAGTTCTCACTTGCCTCAAATCTGTGCGCAGATCCTTTAGCCCCTCCCCAGTACAAACATTCATTTTTTGATGAGGCTATAATCTCCCAGGTTAGATGCACCCCTAGTCCACTCCCTTGGGGTGTGTCTGCCAGTTCTCTTCCTACTTCTTGTCAAGGTCACAGAATCTCAGGGTGGCAGTGTTCTAGACTGTAGCAATCATCTGTTTAATTCTGAGTTGTGGTTTGAAAGTCATAGTCCTTTTTTTTCCTATCCACTGGCAACCTTATGGAAGGGTGATCTCAGTATCTTTTATGAGTTAGGACACTTCAGGGATAGTGAACGGAACCAGCTTGGAGCAGTGGAAAAGATATTTAAGTGAGGGGGGGGTGGTGTGAGAATACCTGATTTTTTGTCATGGCTCTACCATTAACTCACTCTATGACCACTGTGTGGACCTGGGCAAGTTCCTTCCCCTCTCTCAGCTTGAGATTCCCCTTCTGTAATAAGAAAGGACTGGACTCCTAGGTTTCCAAGGTCTTTTCATGTTCTGACATTTTAAAAGGATGAGAGAGGAAGTAGACTCTCTAGAACAATAGATGAGCATAGCAGGGTTGCATATGGGCTGGCCTTGTATTTGCACTCAGGAACCAGCAGTCCTATTTCCCTTCCCGGCACCCAGCTCAAAAGTGTCCATGAGTTAATGTGCCTCAGTTTCTTTCATTTGCTGTCAAGATTCATTGATGCATGCTAGGGCAGACAAGGAGCCCTGGTGGCGGAGTGGTTAAGAGCTCAGCTGCTAACCAAAAGATCGGCAGTTTGAATCTATTAGCCACTCCTTGGAAACCCTATGGAGCAGTTCTACTCAGTCCTATAGGGTCGCTATGAGTGGGAATTGATTTGATGCCAGTGGGTTAGGGCAAACAAAGTACCTCACCCCAGAAGTCTTATTGAGCTGAGCAGTTGTCCAGAGGAAGAGCAGTACTCCCTGGAAAGCCTCAGCAGCAGGAGTAGCAGTGGCAGCCAATCACATTCCTTGACACTGTCATGGTTCTTTCTTCCTAGAAGTTCAAGGAACTCACTGATTCCCTTATTCATGTTCACCTAGAGTCCATGGGGCCTTGACACTAGGCTAAGTGCCTAAGGGGGAAGGGGAACTTGGAGACTTCAATCTGGAAAGTATCCAATCTGGAAAGTAGAAACCATCTGTGTGTCATTTCTCACCTCCCATGTCAACTGCCCCCACACATACACAAGAGCTAGTTAGGGAGTGTTGAGCAGCTAAAAACACTATTTAAAGGGAAAGGGGACCACAGAAGTCCAGGCTGGGAGGGATAGGTCAGTGGGTGAAGGAGCTAGGGAAGGAAGTAGGGGGAAAGAGGGCCGAGGGAGATGGGTGGGATTTAGGCACCTAGGGAGGACAGTGGGAAATGGGGAAGGGGAGAGCACAGACTATCAGAAACTGGTTAGTTTAGCCCCTCTCAGATTGGGGGAACTGAGGATCAGAAAAAGGAAAGGGCTTATACAACGTCAAGAACCAATGTAGAGAATGGAGTCAGGGGATAATAGAGGAGGCAAAGAGCTCAGTTAAGAAGCTGTTGTAATAGTTCAAGCAAGAAATTATAAGCGCTGGAACCAGACACAAGCTGGTTATGGTGATTATGGTCAAATAGCTGGTCATTACTTAAAGGTTAGATATGGAACTCCCCCCTGGCTAGGAGGGACCCATCTCAGTTATGCCCCTGTTTCCAAAGCAGAGCAAAGGTAGCTGAGGTGCTCCCTTGTTCAAGATTGCCAGGGAAATATATCTTTGTCTCCTACCTCTTTGTAAACCATTTCATGTCTATACAGCCAGAACTTCTGATTTCCTCCCACCCACTACTATGATCCTATGTGAACTGAGAAGTAGCTCAGTCTTCCTGGGGCCAGAGTAATTGGCACAATTAGGTTTAGATATGGTGAGATTTATGTCAGTGTTTGTAAAGAGAAGACATAGGAATAAGGGCTAAACATCCCCACAAAGATTGGTTTCCCTGGGAGATGGAAATAAGAGATAATAAAGAGACTTGGGTTTTTAGAAGAGTTGAATTCAGAGAATTCGAGCAGGGGGCAGGCAAGGCTCTTTCAAGCAGTAGAGCTAGGTGAGAGACAGGATGAGCAGACGGTGGTACAGGGACATTCTGGAGCTGGAATCCAAGGATGCTGGGGACATCCAGATCAAGAGTAGGAGCTACAAGAGGAGATTTGGCCTGGACTTTATGGCCAAATATGAGAACCAGATGGAAAGGCCAGGAATTTCTCAAGGATTGTTCTGGAGCTGAGCAAGTCTGGGAGTAAAAGTCAAGGTAATGACAAGCAAGAACTGCATAATGCTGATTTATGTGACAACCTATGTATGCAAGCACTAGAGAGAAATGAGATTGGACTTGTAATCACCTCCCCATGTATCATTCCCACCTGAGATCTGCAGTCACTGCGATACAGAAGATTCTGCATTCTAAATGGCATTCCTCCTTCAGAGGACACAGTACAGGAGAACAATGCCAGAGAGGAACTGGATGGAAAGCACCCCTGAATCCCAGGGGTACTTAGAATAAAGACACTCCCCACCCAATCCATTAGATGGTAACAGTATGGCAGACACATCCCAAGGGAATGGACTACGGGTGCGTCTATCACTCAGGACTTGCTAAGGGCTTCTTTTCATTTTCATCACTGTTAGTAAGTCCTTCCTTACATCTAAATTATATCAATTCTGCTTCACTCAGGGATTTTGGTTGATCCTTGGGGATGGAATTAACTAAGCCTCTGAGATGGCTCTTCTCCTCCATTCATAGAAAAGACAAATGTGGCATGGAGAAATGAGGACAAATACCAGCTTGAGGTCACACACTTCAAGGTCTTCTATCTCTTCCTTCCCATGTGTTAGAGCCCAAACACTTGGTAAGCTGTTCCACTTACACAAACAAGAGACTAGGCAGAAGAATATACTGTACTGCTCTCTTCCCAAAGGGAAGAGGCTGCCTCTTGGCACAATATGGCTGAGAATGCAAACTGCCGCATTGGAGTTAACTTGCTTTTAACCATCCTCAGTCTTCTATGCACTTCTTGGGAACAAAAGCTAGAGTTTGGGTAAAAGGAAAGAAGATAGCATTAATGTGCTGAAAACAGTGGTGAGGCTATTTCAATATCTAGTTTCATGTAACTCTTACAAGAAACTTTGGAAGTAGGAATAAGGACACTGAGGCACACACTGAGAAGTGAAGTGACTTATCCACAAGTCTCATGGTTCGTTGATGGTGGGACAGGGATTTGGGCCCAGGTCTTGTGAGTCCAAAGTCCACCGTTCTTTCAATCAACCTGAACCTGTGACTTTCTCAACTCTGATCTGTGACCCGCCGCTGCTTGGAAACCCTATTGGGCAGTTCTACTCTGTCCTATAGGGTCGCTATGAGTCAGAATCGACTTGACGGCAACGGGTTTGTTTTCTTTGGTTTTAGGAATATTTAGTATTAATCATATACTAATAGTGAGACGGAAGAGAATTTCTCTCTTGTTTTTCCTCTAATAAAGTTGGAAGCTTTTCAAGAGCTTCCCCTAGCCAGCCAATATCAACTCAGTTTGAGTCAGTGTCCTCTTGGAATGTGAAATTAGTCCTGTAGAAAGTGTGTCCCAGTCTCCCAATCGAGTCACTAGTCCCCAGCCCTGCCCCCTCCTATCAGTGACTACGCACATATGTCTGCATGCAGGGCCCAGAAAGAAAACAGCCTCCTTGAGCATAGGGTCCCTGCATGAACTGCCCATAGTTCAAACTCAATACACCTAGAAGGAACCTATCCATCTGTCCATCCCACCCATGCATCCAGCATAGACCAAGTGCCTGTTAGGTGCCAGGTTGTATGTGAGGCTCTGCAAAGGGTGCATGCATGCCTCTTCCTGCCCATGAGTTCTCCTTCTCAGTGGCTATGTGTCTGTTGGTGGTTTTGCTGTTATTGTGGTCTTTTGTGTGCCCATTGCCATCATCGTTAACTCTCCTCTGCCTGACGCCTGCCATTTGGTCACCAATCTCTGCTCTCTATCTGTCCTTCACAGTTTCTCTCCCTCTCATCTCCACTGTCAATGCCCTAGGTCAGCCCTCTCAGTCTCCTGGCCTGGACTGTTGTAACAGGCTCCTCCCTGGTCTCCCTGCCTCC